ATAATAATAATAATAATAATTCGATAGCCGTAGCATAATTTGTCTGATATCGTATTTTCTAAAACATTTAGGTTACTGATCCGCTGTCAAAAATAACGTATAATAGAGATGCGTTACAGTGCGTCAAATATAAAAAATTCGAATCCAACAAGTCGGGCGTCATTATCAGCCTGACTTCTTTACTTTAATTTGCATTCTAGCTTAAAAATAAGTTTTGCGAACGTCTAGGAAAATTGAAACGTTAATATGTTTTTACGTCTTCCCACAGTTTCATGCAAAATGACGTTGAACTGGTTCTGGTGGTTGTCAAATTGGCTTCCATTAGTCTTGAAATGTTGAGACGTGAAAAAACGCTAAAAAAATGTCCACCGATCCAAACGTTAAGGTAGTATGGTTTCATTCTAGCAAATCACTTGTTCACAAACACTTTCGACTGCTCTAGCCAGCTCAGTGACAAGTGATTATGTATCACTGCTCATCAATACCCTGGTTTTAATTAATTTCTCGTAGATCGCAATTTGAATTCTACCTTACATTTGGACGGCTGATCTGACTACATTTCAAAATTCTTATTCGCAGACCTTCTTCGGCTTCAGAAGCAGCGTCCAGTGCGTCATTCCTGGGAGTAACGAATTGATAGAGCAGTATACTCAACTTCGATGCATGGACTAAGTGGCCAAGGATCATATGTTGGATCCCACTCTGAATATGGTCCACACTGAACGAGTGAGCCGTACTCAATAGGTATGTCACATGAGAGAGGTGTGTGCTTCAGATGATAATAACAGCATTTCTTGGCCACCTTTTACTTATGTTACCCACCTGAAATAATTCCAATGGAGTTTCGCACATTATTCGTGAATTAACTAAAATCGAACATGAAGAAACATGAAGTGACCTTGTTTCCTAGTAGAATTCAAACATTCACCTCTATCACATGGTTTACCAAGGTTCGTGTTCACTGAATCCTAGCAGGTAATCGTTCTTCGCTTATTCTGGTACACTTGTGCCTTCCGTGCACTGACAATTATTCTAAGAGATGAATAATGGGTCATGTATGTTTTAGCTGATTTCTGTTGGCGTTCACCGTTCTTGCACCACAAAGCATCCACGCTTCGGGGGCAGTTTGCTTCGATGGGTGTTGAGCGAATTTGAAATTGTCTTGTTTTGTTACTGGTGGTGCAGAAAATAACAAAACCACTTCCCATATGAGACTGTGTTTCTGTTCTATACTCATTGTTAATTTAATGTCATTTGAATAGTTGTGTGCCTAATCATTTTCTCTTTGCATGGGCAATAGGTCAACTCCGTTTATCTCATTTTTTGACGGTTCGCTGTTTAACTGTATCGATTCGTATCGCGCATTCCGGCAAGTTCCCAGTTAGTGGCAAGAATTAGTTTTAATATATGCTGAAAAGCGGGGAAGCACTGTACAGTTGATTGGGAACCATCAGCAGTGTGCATCTCACGGAACTCCGGAGAGTCTCAAACCCGCGATCTCCATTCAGAAACAAGTGGCTGATCATTAGTGTGATTAACTCGCATTTAGACTGAATACATCGCCGCTCATCCTTCAGTCACGGGATCCACATTACGCCGTTGACTTTTGTCGTATCTTGAAGCCAGTGAGTTTAGAGGTGGACTTTCGTAAGTCCCTATTCCAAAAATATACAGATGATTTAAGCTGGCATGGAATAGTCGAATTCAATGCTTAACTGTTATGCTTCATTCACCAACTCAACAAACACGACTTGAATTTCCCGCAAAGATCAAACAAGAAGCAAAACATAATGAAAACGTCAATCAGTTTGTTTAAGCGGAATCCTTATGATCCTCCTTAAAATCTCACAGTTGTTTCATAAGCAGAAAGGTGTCTCTTCTTACCAGCCTTATAAAGCAAAGTGGGATCTAACAAAGCCTTGATTAGGAACTCATAATACCATGGAAATACTGTATGACGAACTCAAAAGATCATAACTTCTGGTCAGTCAGACAGGTACCAAATCAGCCGAACTAGCGGGAGAACTAACCCGTGTGCACTTGGATGCCTAACTGGAAACTCACTTGTTCAACAATGGATTTTCGGTCGATATGTGAGCATTTTGTGTGAAGCCTTGCACTTGTATTGGCTGATTTCTCAACGGGTAATGGTTTGGATTACTCGAAAAAGACAGAAATTTGTGTTCTTATTCAAAGTTATCCAAATCCCATCTCCTGCACGTGTGAAATTCTTGTTTTCATTCGATTGTCTGTACCTTCTGCTACGGCTTGTCACCTGACTGAAAAACCTAAAAACACCAAATGGTGGTGAAACGCCCCAGCTTTTAACTGAATCCGTCCTTGAATTCGAGCGGTTCGTTTAAGTAATTGACTAGTAGTATTGAGTGTCTGCATCCTCAAAATTAATGTGCAGCGTTAACCATGGGTGCACGTAGGGAGATCTATGCAGCTCCCATTAAAACACGTTGATTCTTGTGATCAAAATGACTTATTAAATAATTCAGAAACGGAAATTTTGTACTAAACCGATCAAGTTGAAAATAGCAGATAAAACCACAACAATGGTCTGAAGCACTGTGCTGATTTGTAGATCCAAGTGTAGGTGGACATGTGTGAAATCCTGCAAAATATTCTGTAATTCAACTCACTTCCATGCTGGTAAATCCGCACGAACTGTAGGCAGAACACAAAATTCGTAAGCAGGGACAGAGCAAGAAGAACAAGGATGGCCAACAGTAGATGAGATTTTGAACTCAAGAACCCTGAAATGAAAGAAAATACAGTCGTGCGTTGATTAAAATGATTTGACAGCTCCCAATGGGATATTAGTGACACTTTCGTATAAATCAACTCTACAGTGCATTTGCCCACAGACAACATGACCTGCTGTCTGTTGCGCATTATGTGCAAGCTTCTAGGGCAGGGAATAACCGTAGCAACAATTCCCATGCCAGGCGGTAGATCCACATAAATCTTTCATCGCGTAGTCGGTAATTAGCCGAAGGCAAACTCATCCTACTCGTCAAACATGTGTCGAAACAGCCCGGTTTTCAGCACATGTGCCGTCATTCTACCTTGCTTTTTCTGCTGCTTCCCATGTACATTCAAACAGTGCTATTACCGCGACTGCCTGTGGATTAACCAAATGTTTATGTATCCAGGTACAATGACCCGTGCAAGGGGAAATTCTATTTTTGGTTACGGTAGAAATCTAAGAAGAAAAAGACCACGGTGGTCAAAACATGCTGGAAACTACTGAAGTACACTCAGCAATCACAGCTGATCTCTTGACTTTTAAGAGATGTAAAGTTGGTCTCCTCCGTAGCTTGGCTTCTGTAGCTTCAGATTTGTCCTACTGTAATTCAAAACGTTTTTTTCTAAATACTACTTAGCAAAGTTAATTTTAGTTGTTTTTTTGAGGTTTCTCATTTCTTTAGATTATTTAACACCGAATGTCTCACAGTGTTATCCATGAGTTTCGTACACTAACGGTTTCCAAAACTGACAACACAGCTCACTTACGCAGTAAGTATGGCAGGTGCCATAAAATGAGGATAACGTGAAAAATTGAACACAAAATTCCATATTCGGGCTGATTGCCCTTTCATTCGCCCACACGGGCCCCAGAACAGTCTCTACTTGGACAGCTATCGCCCAACGAGCGACGGGGAATTTAAGTGCCTCTGTATGCAACTGACGAACCATTACCTTAGGTGTGCCGCGCTCGAAACACCGGCACAATGTTAGGTCATGGAGTAGTCAGTTAGCAACAATTCCGCTCCCCTCTTTTTGCGGACATTTCGTTGAATGGATTTGTTGAACAGCTGAACCACCTTATGTAACAAATATGCCAACAAAGCAACCAGTGAATCCTATTTGGTTCTGATCGGACCACATAGTCGTTCATCGCATGGTATCGATTACAACTACAGTTAAAAGACGGTGTAACAAGAAGCGAGCGAGTTATTTTGCCTCTAACTTTAACTAAGCTTGCCAAATGCGTCGGCTCAAGCCTCATGGCCCCCGAAACTAATGAAATTGATTGCTAGTAGGCGATCCATCAATTTATGCGGAGGTCTCAGCATAGATGTGTGAAGTTTGTTGACCAACAGTTAGTTATATGAGTACCGGGATGTACGTCAGTTTTGCTTTCGTTGGTAATGATTATTTTGTCACTTATAGCGTCGACTGTAACAAGGCCTTCGGTTGTGTAAACAGATATAGCAGAAAATTGTCCAGAAAGTGCCCAAGCCTGCCTGGTTTAAGTAGACCAGATTTGTCCGTTACATGACCTCCTTCCATGAATCTTTTATTCCCCTAAAAAGATCAATAATCGGCATATCAGGCGCGCATGATCTCTGAATAAATACTTCAACTAAATAAATAAATAAATAGTTCACTGCTCAACTCTGTGTAAACACATTCGAGGGTGACGCACATTTATTGATCGATCATACAACTGCTCGTCGAAACTCAGTAGTTTTCGATTTCTGTCAGCTATATTTCTGTATGTGATCAGGTTTCTTTACGCCTAAGAAAACTACAAGAAGTGTCCCCATATCTGCCGTATTGACCACTTTGTCTCACAGACAGTCAACCATTTTCACACTGATGGACTCAACTTGGTTACGAATAGGTGACCATGGCACAGTTTGCCAATGAGAAAATACCCTGTCGGAGGTGAATCAGTGGAACTTTGGTCGGTGCATGTAGTTAGGCTGTTATTTACCGAAGGCCACCATTGGGCTCTTCGCACCACATTTCTTGACTTTCTGAAGCTGAGACGACTTTTTACTAAACACTGGATCATTCTGTGTTAACACATGCGAAGAACTAACTGGTTTTGACTCACATTCAAGAATCAAAAAATCACGGTTCGCCGCTCATGCAGTCTCCCAGATCTAGTATTTGTGGAAATACGAAGATGTCTAGCACAGTGTGTAAATGACCACATCAAGGGCAGTAGCATAACTGATTCCCAAATGTCAGAGATCAGATAAGGGATCAGCACCTTCAGTCGCCAGTTTCCGGATGTGTCTGAAGGATCCGCCGCTAGTTGTCTTGGCAACCAGAACCGAGGACTACTCTCCTCCAGTAGGGCCGCAATCGCCAATACCAGCACTTAGCGCACAAAAAATGTTAACGCCCAGCATCCGGCTTTCGTGGTTCCAACTAGGTAACCCTATTAGGCCCATATTTGTATGCTTTTTCAACTTTGTTACCAAAGCATTCTTGTATGTAATTTGCATGTTTTGTTTCTGTCCGCAGCTGTTTATCAGAGGATCGTCAACCACACACTGATGATGTCTTCTCCCAAGGTGACGAAACGTTTGCAAGCCAACGATCAACCTGAGCGAACAGCTATACTGCCACTTAATCAACGACCAATAAACTAACCCGAGCTGCTGATATTCAAAAGTATTTAGTCTCTGCATCGGAAGTACCAGAATCTTTGCCACAATCTCGTCACACGTGTCTTCAGTGTGCACAGACAGAATGATAAAGCATAGTCGGTTACTCTCAACTTGTAAGAGGTATTCTCCTGTTCATAGATTACACCAGAATGGCCTGAAATGACCCAAAGTACAAATGGGTGATTTTAGAAAATAACCTATCATCAGAATCGATATGCTACACTATAAGCCAGGCAAGATTTTTTACATCCCATTTGTGCTACACCAGCAAAGCAAATTTCACTCAGCTTCGTTCGTGTTCTCAGACAAAGGAGAGGAAACCAACACTCGTTACTATCACGCCTATGATGAAGTCAGCTGTCCAACTTGCTACTTCCGTACTTACAAATGGGAAAACACAACGAATTTGTCCAAAAAAGCAAACAAACATCATTGTCCTCTGGGTCAGTTGGGTAGAATCAACTTTGTCTCTTGTCCTTTAGAAAACTACAGCCTGACTCATATTTTAACCGGACACTACCGAAGTATACGTGCGTGGGTGTGTTTGAAAATTCTGTCTAGTGCAAGTGTAAACAAAAGATCACTTTACTTTTTAACCCCGGAAGTAGAATAGGGACTGCCTGCAACGGTTACTCGCCCAAACAGACGCAGTTCAAAGACATGTCTTTCTAGCTTTACGATGTAAATCGGCTGTCTAATTGTCTATCATTCAAAACATTCTGCGTGGAAAACAGTACCTTGTGCATGCAACAAAGAAAATGGCATGCGATGTCCTTAGGGGAAAGAAAATAGTTAGGTGATTCTGGAGAAAGTCAAAGACAGTTCAGTTAGTAGACTAGGGCGGATAATCTTACGCATTGGGTACTAAGCTTCCCTGTGTGTGAGGGTATCCTATAACCGAAGTGTGACAGTCTGAATGAAAAGCTATGAGGAAAGTGTGCACTTGGCTTACTAGTGTCAAATGGGCTGCCCTAACAAGAGACTCAACCGAAATTCAAGACTATCTCTTTATTACGCTGAAGTTCAGGAAAGTCTACTTTTGCCATCAACTTAGATTGTGAATGAGTGTTTCCCTTAACAGACATTCAGTTTGAAGTAAAATATATTGGAATTTGGGATCCCCAAAAAGGGAAAACCAGTACTGGGTTATCCAAAGTTTTCACCGACTTTAGAATTTTTGCCTAAACAGCAGTCGGTGGAGGAGGGTTAAGTCCAAAGAGGGTTTGGAATCCTTTCATAAATGCCCATAATTTTGGTAAACTCGAAGATCGGGTACAAGAAACAACAAACAAACCGAGTTTTCCTCTTAATTAGAAAGAAGTGTTCGTCGAATATTACTACGCGAAGAAATAAATTGAGGCAGTATCAAAGTAGCATCAAAATACCATCAGAGTACTAAAAAACCGCTCAGCTGAAACACCTTTCGATGCCCAATTGCCGTGCTACCCGAAGAAAGCACGAGGGCTGAGATACTGCACAGACAGGGGAAGTCGAGAGGTTAGGTTCGAACCACGGACCTTCCGGTCAGTAAATTCGCGCTCTAACCACTTGAGCCATCTCGCCGCTAGGCTATCTCGCCCCATCAGAGTACTAGTCAAAGTCTGCTCGACACTTGGCAACGAAACCTGATTAGATTATTCAGAAACAGTTGTTTTGGACGCCAGTTAAACCACAAACTGCCCAGATCTTCATCACCCTATTGTGAGAATTATTTCGGTGTTGAGGTGAAAAGATTCGGTCAGTTCAGGCGAAAGGAGATTCCGCGTGTAATAAACCTCTAATCCTCATTAATGCTCATCCGCTGTCCAGTCTGATAAGCTTTATCAGCTCTAACGGAGTAAAAGTTGGATAACGGGAGGCATGCATCGCTTCCCAGGAATGGATCAAAACAACCCTTTTCAAACTTTAGATTGACCAGAAGTGATGACTCACAGTCGGCTTGATGTACGAGGCACAAATTCTGGCCACAGAATTTAGCCACCTGTAAATACGATGGTGGCAGGTACAGTACTCTAATGTAATATTCAAAGTATTCAATCAAAATTGAAATCATGATAATTTTCCCCGCATTATCTGCTCACTTCGTCAGTGTACATCTGACCCTCACTTGTTTTGCAACCCGGTACCTACCCCAAAAGACAGTGCCCGTCTGAAACTAGTGTGGCAGAGTGCATGCATCTGTGCCACTGGCCTATTTACCCATGCATGTTCGTGCCTCGTCTGCTGGGCCTGCTCTGACGCGTTCACCCCTGAAGTCCGCGTGCTGCACAGCCAGTCAGAAGTACGAGACCGGCCTCGGAAAGAACGACAGCAGCTCAACCCCATTGAGCCGAAATTCCGCTCGCTGTCGTCTAGGTCGCGGACCCCAAAACCAGATTAGAGCATTGGACGCATCTCTACAAAAACCTCCTACGTTTTCTAGATGAAATGCCATTGAAACATCTGCACCTTACTTGAAGAAACTGACCAGAAGAGATTTCTCATGGGAAATATCCACACATCCGGAGGTCTTACAACATGAAGATTCTAAGAGCCAATGAAGACTGCTAATTTTAGCAGTGGTACAATCTCCGGGAGCTTTTTTTAAAATCAGGAACAACTCCACCTTCATAGATTTTCTGTTTGCTATTCAGAACGCCCACAAATTGCACTGAAGCTGATTTACCTACCGCGTAGTCTTGAAATTAGTTCACCTCAGAAGTATGATGGAAAAGCTCCGAAGCTGTTCGTGTTAGAAAAAACAATTTTCTAGTAAGACGCACTATCTCATCGATCTACATCCTGGCTGGAATGAAAAGAGTGGCGCTTCTCAAAGCCATACATTATCACTATAACTTTTGTAAAGATTGAACGTAAAAAGTGTCGTCATGTCCAAATGTCCTCAATGTCCAAATGGCCTTTGCTTCTAATACGGCTGCGCGTCAGCCTACTGCACAGCGGAACAATCATGTGAAACAGAGCCGTGCGATTATGCCCCCATGTCTGAATCACGTCAGATTTCATCATGTGCCGGAGAAAGGTCAAAAGGGACACAGAAAGTTCACTCCGACTCCATGACCAAGGCAGCCCGTACACAAGCGCACAGACGGCCATCTATGACCAACCGAGACAAAGGAACAACCGCCCGAGAACCGGTGTGGGCGTGCAGGAGACACACTGGTTGGCTGAGAGCAGGTCGACCATCAAATACGGTCACAAATGAATCATATATATATATAGAACGTTGTAATTGGGTTAATACACAATTCCTTCTGGTCGCCTTCTTGTCTTCTGACTATGATCCAGTAGCGTCAGGGAAGGTGAAGAGATACAACAGCTTCTTTGCGTATAGATTGAGGAAATGTTCAATGAAATGCCCCTTCTGAAGAAATGCTTCACACTAGTGTTCACTTTATCTACTCCAACAGATATATGAAAACGACATAATAGATTTCCAGTTATCGTTCAAATTCCCAGAAAATCCGCCTGAAAACTAGATGCGACTAGCTTTAATTCGGTCACTTGTTCTGTTGGTCAGACCCTTATTTGTGGGTGCAGAGTAAAGGGGTTAGCAGGAGAGGTGCAATCAGTACAGCAATACGAACGCCTTCTTCGGGAGTGTACTCATTCAGATATCCTCAACTTTGACTCTCCACTCTTCTTCAGCCTACCAGGTGTAACAGCGGGATGCAACTTTTCAAGATGAAATTACGCCACGTACTAAAAAATGGCCATAATACTTAAACTATCGATAGTTTATGTTACTGAAACTTTGAAGCTGCTCAAAAAACAGACAAAGCTGAAGGGTACTCGAGATCCTCTCCAGTGACCTCTTCTCTACAATGAATACTTTTTGTTCGCCTCGTCAATTTCTCCCTGTGGCTTACACAGTGTGTTCTGATTCCCCTGATAAAAAATGTGAGCCCAGTCTCAAATACCTTTTGACTCATGTGCTCAATTAGGCGTTTTTTCTTAAAATTGGCGTAAACCTTCAAAGTTTTTATTTATCGCGGATTAGAACTAGAGTGTATGGCTCGCTACGACATTTATTCGTCTTAGCATTCTTCCCATCGCCTAATGAACACGGTTTACAACGAATGCGGCCTGGATTGGAAGATTTAGAAACATGTGGTTTTGGTTTCCAGACAAACGGTTGTAGATGCAGCAACTTATAGGTACCTTCACGTGGACTATAGTGATACGGAACGCTGTGACTCTTCCATTACCCGTTGATGGTAGATATGTAACCTCGAAGAAACAAGTAAATAAGGTTGTGTTGAACAGGGTATAGCGGGAAGGGAAGTGTCGTTGGAGTAGTAGAGTACCATT